GCCGTACCTGTAATTGAGCCATACTGTTCCATTAGGAAATATTAATAGAAGAATATTTTGTGATGGTGATGTATGTATTGTTACTTTTTTGCTGTTAACAAGGCAAACATTTGGAGTCCATAGATGGGGTAATTTATGAGCGGCCAGTGACAAATTCGTCAAACAGTAATTCAAATGCTGAAAGTAATGTTATTTACAGGTACCACAGTTTTCACTTTTTTAGACAATAGAACATGTGATCCTCTGAAAGATGCATATTCGGAACATAGTTATACATCAATAGTGGAAAGTATTTTAAATATAAAATAATACATAAAAATAGTTTTAAAATTCACCTGCCTTACATATATATAAAGGTATAAACAAATCCTAGAAGATAAAATTCCCAGAACTTACCCTAAAATCGAGTCGTCGATCGTGCCATATTTGGCTGAACCATATATCGGCTTTGAAACTGCTTGTTATTTCACTGATTTCTGTTATGCTTTGTACTGTCACTTCCACTATCACTTCAATGAAATTATCCGATGGTAATGTATTCTTATCGTACGTCTGCTCATCGAATAGATCCTATGTGTTGATTTTAAATTCAAAATCATTTCAGAACAAAATAATTTTTCATTACTGGTATAAAAACAAAAATAGATGCTGTATTTAATATTTATTACTTTTCACATATTTTTGAATTTACTTCTCCAAATAGTAATTCTCTAGCTGTTATTCTTTTTATTAACGAATATTTCCTTTCTTGGATTATCAGAGTATCTTTAATTAGCTTCATGCATAATATTTAGTAGTAAAATATCATTTAAACATTCTCGAATTTTTTTTTGCTTCTCATTTGCAAAGGAATCAATTCTTTAGCTGCATATTAATAACATTATTCACACATCAATTTTCAATATCACATCTCCTATGCATTATTCTATCTAACGGGAACCGTTCTGCATGTGGAAAATTCGATTTAGTTACCAGTATTTTATTTTTCTATCACTTATTTTCTTAATTTTTTAACTGATAAAAATAAAAAATAGCTTGCTAAAAAATGGAGAAATGAAAGGAAATGTTAGCTTGTTGTATAGGAACGGAAGAAATGTGGGGTAACATCATAATAGTTTTCCAATAATAGTAGTAACAATTGTGATGTATGAAAGGAATGATAATTTTGATATGTGAATAGAACACATTTGTTCAGTGAAGTGTAGTTGAAAAACAAAACGATTTGGTACGGCTTAAATAATAACAAAATGATGATGAATAGTTTCATTTAATATTTATGAAATTATATATTTAAAGTAATAATTCATTCATTTTTGATTTATTTTTCCTATATGTACTTTTATTTTACTTATTTCACGATTAATTTACTTGTTATCGATTGAAATTTATGAAGACTGTTTATGTGGAAACCACTTATGCCTTTTTTTGCTCTTCAAAGATAATATACCATGATTACTTCTTGTATGCTAAATTTCCATGTATGTAAAAATATTATAAAATGATTGGTTTGATGATACATCATGGGAATGAAATTCTATGCATACCTCTTCATTCAAGTATAGAAACAAATATTATTCGAAAATAAAATTGATTTAAATCAAAAATTGAATAGCAGGAAATGTGAGGTATTATGAAATATTGCATTTCACTAACGTTAGGATATAATGAACGAAGTTCAGAATATTCATGCATTGTGCGTATTTATTTTCCATTGCTAATGTTGACGAGAAATTGATAAATAGTAAGCAATTGTTTTCTTATCATTCCTTTTCTTCCACTTCTTTGCACTTTTCCAAAAATCCCTATCGTTCCTCATTGGAAAAAAAAATTTCTATGTTTGTTCTTTTTTTTCTCCCTATCGTCTTTTTGGAATTTTTGGCGTCTATATGCTTATAATACTTTGATTATAAGTTATAATCTCTGATGCAGTCGTATGTCTTTTCACGTAGTAATTTACTTTGAAATACTTAAACGAAAGTAAGAAAAGTAGGAAATATATGTTTCTAACATAAAAGCCTTAATTTTTTGAATTCGAATAGTTTTTGGGTCCTCAGATTATGAAATTCACAAAATTGTTTACTAAATCATATCATTTTGTTTATTCTTCCTTAAATAAAGAGTTTTTAAATCTTTCAAGTTATGAAGATATCATGCTCGTCCTGAAAATTACAAAATTTTTTGTGTAAGGCAGTTATTTGAAAGGAAAGTACAGATAAAATTCAAAAGCTAATCGGATTCAAAAGGGTGTGAAAATGAAAGTTAGGTGTGGTGCTCATGGTGTTTATATTTTAAAGTGGATGCTTATTAGTGCTAACCAATAATAATAAATATTTCATATTTAATGCTTATTTTTCTATATTTCTATATTTCCAATAAATTTTAAAAAAGGCATTAATGAAATTAATTATTTTTAATCAGATAAGAGGAGAGATAGAGGGCAAATTTACATTATTTGATTTGAAATCGCAAGAATTTTAAAAAATAGGGACAATAGTGACTAAGATAAGAAGATGAATATATGCGCTTTTCTGCTTGTTAGACTTACAATTTCTAAATGAGTTGAATGTTAGAGTATCATAATTATCCGGGCAATTTAGCTGATTCTCTTCAAACTATTATTTATCGATTATGCGTTAATTAAATTTGTTTTTGTTTATTCGTCAATAAGTGAGAGAGAATGAATCGATATAAAAAATCGCTACCTGTATCAGTTTTTTTCGTAATTCTCCACTCACTGGAATACATGGTTTACTCTTATCGAGAATATGGTTTCGTTCGCTTTCTTTACCTGATATAAATTTCACGTCGTATAAACACATTACTTAATTATGTATTTATTGCTTGATGTTCATGAAAACGATTAAGCTATATTTTGTGGAAATGTTTTGAACAATATTATCTTGCATTCTTAAACTTATGATACAGGAAAAACCATTGATTATAATTCATTCATTCTACTTTGATATTATTGCCGAACTTTAACTTATCAAAATCCGTCCCTAAGTTTGAAATAGTTACCTTTTTTTGGGTACTGAAATAGTTACTGTTTTTTTTGGGCATTGCTAATTAATTTGCTTATCAAAAAGTTCATTTGATTATTTTCTCTGAGAAAAGCATTACAATGCTGTTGGTGCAAATTAAATTCTGAAATTGGATAAATGGGACAAAAAAAAGAATTGCATGAACTATAAAATCAAGTTAAAATATAATTTAATTGGACAAATGAAACAGTTACCACTTAATTTCTGCTCTTCAATGATATCTGTTATATGATCCGTTTGGGTAGGTGATAATTCAGGTAAAAGTAATACAATACGGGCAAGGTAGGGTACAATCATCACAATTGCCAGCAAAATGCTTCCCTTAATTAGTAGTGTCGTAATAATAAATTTCAGTAATCGCAGTATAACTGCGGCCAAATTGCTGGCAATAATTCTAAATGATTTCCACTTTGTTTCCAGTTAAATTTCAATAAAATTTCGGAACTAAACTGTAGGAATCTGATAATTTGATATTAGGACGAATATGAATAAATCGTTTGCAACTTTCGAATTACATTAATTAGTTATGGAACAGATTATTTTCCGCAAGCGCTACATTCGTTACTTTCAGTATCTCACTGAAAAAAAAAGGTGTAAGTCTTTTGGTCTTTTAATGGCAAAATTCTTTGCTCCTCCTCCTATATTCGTGAATCAATTTCTCTATTTTTTTTCTGCATTTTTATTTTGTTAATTTTTATAAAATCAATAAACAATATTGTTTGGTTGACAAGCCGAAAAGTATTTTTCTTGAACTTGTATTTGATGAAAAATATTTTTAAAAAAAGTAATAGAATTTAATATCATCAGTGCTTGGTTGTTTGTTCGAACTAGTCATAATTTCACAAATAAATTCTATCATCTATGACAATAACCAACGATTCCATCATTTCTGGCTTTATTTCTATTTCCCAATTTTTCATCATTAGTACGATTTTCTTTTTGCAAATCTTTTAAATTTCTTAGTGTGGAAAGAGTATTAATAGGCAAGTCTCTTTTCGATTAACTCGACTGTTTTAATTTTCCTCCATATTTTCCGAATAAAATCAGCTTTTCAGCATAAAATAATTAAAAATGTGTTTTTCGAACTTTTCAAAAATCCTAGCAATAAATTTTATGATTGCTATTTTCACTTTGGGAAGAGAATTAATGATTGAAAAAGTTAGGAAGATAGAAACTATGTATCTGTATAATAGGAGAGCAACAAACATTCAAAAGAAAAAATCGGAAATATTCATCAGTAAGAAGCTTATTTAGAACTTATCTTTGCTAGATAGAGTTGTTTACACTACGATCTAACATAAAGAAATACTCTTACCTGTTGTTGAAGTTTGAGTGCATCAAAAATTTACCTTTATATTATTATTCATTAATGTTGATGAATAAATGAAAGGATGAGAAAAAATGGACAAGATTAAGCATTTAAAACAAACTAATTTCAAATGGATACGTCCCAACTGAATTAAGTTAGAACGTATCCATTTGAAATTACATAATGGTTGAAGATGAAAACTAGCAACCAGAGAAATAGATCTGATACTCTTTCACTCATCCGGTCCCTATTGACCCATGAAATTTGTGGTCAATGAATAAGTGAAGTGTAATATTTCATATATGCACATACATACATACACACTCATACATCTTTTCTTGTTGACAGCCACTGTAATTGACAGCTAGTATTTCTGAAACTGGCTTTAATAGATATTAAGTGTTGCCTATTTCCCAGGTGGTTAACTTCCTTTCCTGTTGGACTGACTCTATTCATTGATTTAGCTTTAATTTTATATGCATATTTTGAATTGCATTCAGTTAAAGTATATCAATTTTAGATTATTTGACGGTAGGTCCAATAAAAAATATGGATATTTTATCAAAATTTTTGCAAATGGCAGTAGCTACTGAGTACAGCATATGTCATACGTCCGTTACAGACTTCAAATAGATAGAAAAAAAATTACTGAAGCTATTAGCTTAGTTGAGAGGAAATGGAACTGGAAAATCATTTCAATCAACAGTTGTTTGTTAGTTTGTTGAGGCGTTGTTATTCGCAGTAAAGTGAAAATGGCTGAAACTCAGCCTTTTATGAAAGTCATTTCAACAATAAACAATATTGAAAGAATAACGATACACTAATCATATCCGTTAGATTTTCTTCATTTACTTTCATTCACAGCTGCAAATATGTGGAATGGATTAACTTCAATAATGTTTCGATATTTAGTTTGAAGATGAAAAAAATTATGTCGAAAAAAGGCAGACCCAAACGGACAAGCAGAATTTCCATCTAACACGGAGGATATCGTAGGAAAAGAAAAGGATGATTCGATGTTTTGAGGTGCGGGAAAATGTTAAAGCAACGAAGAGAAGAAAGCTACAAAGTGAGGAAAAGCAATTAATCGAATAAGCATTATTAACAAAATTCTGCACAGACGATGTTAGTTAATATTTGGATATGTTAGTTAATATTTAGAAGTCATTCGGAATATATTTTGATGATTATTCTTAATTTTTTCAACTTAACATTTTCATATATTCAAAAACTAGCTAGCGATGATTAGCATGATGCTGAATATCGAATAAAATGACAAGCAAGATGGAAAATTGAATAATTAATATCTTAGATCTCAGGAGAACTGTTTCATTTTTTCGTGCAGTAAAAAAAAGAAACTTCTCTTGGGAAAAAGAATCTGCTGCATAATAAAAAAAACCTAAAGGTATCGCTTATAAAGGCTATAAGTATGCTTATATAGCAGTGTGTAAGTATATATATGTTCACATATGTATATGCATAAATGTTGATGTATGTAAAACATGCAGATAAATATATGGTGGGCAAAATTTAGGCGACTCGTTTATTCAGTATCCAGGAAACAGAATTTTAATGCAAGCATTTCCAAAAAAAAAAGAAATATACGATCTTATTTTGACTTGAAAATCTTATTAGCTTACAAAATCTGTTTTGTTTTGTGACTTATAATGTTTGGCAAATTTTTTTTATGCCGGTGGATGAGTAGCAGGAGAAGAAAAGGCAATTGTCAAATCCAAGGGTGAGATAACATTTAAAGAAAATATTTTCAGGCTATACAAAACAATGACACGATTTTGAATTGTTAATTTCGCCAAAATTGGAAGTTATGTGTAAATTTATGCTATACACTTTTTATGTGAATGATAAGAAATTGATGAAAAAGCAAATAATTAATGAAAATGTAAAAGATTTTTGCAATTCAAAAATAAACAAAAGCCAATTAATTTTTTTTTTGTTAAATTTCTGTTGACTGAATAGCTATAACAGGAGATAACATATTATCACAAGAAATACTACAATATTTAACTTATAAGGATGAAACATTAAATTTTATTGTTTATTTTGAAAAAAAGTAAAATATGCATTGACATGCATATATTGCTAACTGTGAAAATGCAATTGCAAAGTTTATTTATTTCTAATTATTTAATACGTTTTGGGAGTAAATGGAGTGTGCGACGATAATCGCTAATTTAGAGCAGTATTTTATCGATATTGGAAACTACCAGATTTATTTGCCCGGTGTTGTCGGATCCTAAAAAATAACTGTTTCGAGCAAATAAAAAAAAAACGTAACATCATATATTATTATACGAAATCGATTTGGAACTGTGTTTTGTGCACTTTTCAAGCATCAAATAGGAAAGCGGAAAAATTAGTAGGAAAGTGCAAGTACGATATTACGTGAATTAAATTGAGGAAAAAAAACAGGAAAAGATATATAGATAAGATATGATGAAAGTATGTTGATAAAGTTACTTTTTAGAACGGTTTTAGTTTGATCCATCGGTGCTGCTTTTATCCTAATGATAGTAAATAGTTTGTTTATAGATTCTAAAAAGATTTATACTCCTTACCATTAAGCGATTATAACATTTAGCTTGAAAAAAATTTTTTTAATACACAGGAATATAATGAACAATTAATTGTTTGAAAGAATTTTTCCCAGTTATTTCAGTTTTTTTCCTAATAGTTGATATTTTGTCAAATTGTAAATCTCATCAATGACATTGTGATAGGGCGATAGACTGATAGATCTGTTTTGATTTATCTGAAAATTACATGCATTTAAAAAGTAAGGATATTTGAACAATTTTTTATTGCATGTATAAAATGTTGTCAAAAGAAATATTTAAACATTAACCATTGTTATGTAAAGTTTCGAAATTTCTTGATATTTATAAAATTTCATTTTCGATGCCTACGATAACATCCTATTTCATTTGATTCAACTGGTGTAACGTGTACTTTTTATAAATTTTCAAATTTTAGGCTGCTGGATGAAGATTTGTCTATCATTTATTTGGTCCGGGATTTTCAGGTTAATTTATATTTTCACAAAACGAATCTATTTTATTGAGAAAATGGTAAACGTGATTATTGATTACCGGAAAAATTTACTAGTTCATCTCGGTTCTTTGTTTGATATTAATCAGAATGATGATCATGTTGGAATTGTGAGATGTATTGTTGTCGGATGTAACTTGATTTTAAAAATGCTGACAACATGTTTGAGATATTTAAAAGAGAAATAGAAAATGTAAAAGAATTCCACGGAAATCTAAGAACATTTATGAGCTTTCTGAATTGTCTTTCTATTTCGATTTATTCATTTAAAAAAAAAAATGAATTTTGTACAACTTTGCCACCATTCCGGTTTATGTATCGCCTGCCTATAGTGCTATACTTTTGTTGTTATTAAGCATAGCAGCTAACGACACTGAACAGATATAAAGTTGAATCGTATAATACTCGGTTAAAATTTTGAATATTTAATTTTGTTCTTAATTAGTTATCATAGAGACATTTCCTAATTCACGATCTAGAAGATCATTTTCAGATTAGAGTCTTTGATCTGGATGAATTACCTCTATTAATTATGATTATTAGTAGTTATTAACTCCTTGCATTTCTCGGTAGTTATTGATCCACTTATTTATTATAGATTCTATAGTTTCTTCGAGACATGAATATTGCAATGCAACTTTTTTCATCTTGTTGACAGATCAGTATTATTGCTGAACTGGATATCGAGAACAATGATGCGATGAAATCTTGCAGATGATAGTAACGGATATACTAAGTGATCTCCTTCTTCCTGAAACTCTCACGTAATGTACATTTCTGAAGTGCTATACATTAGAAGATATTCCAAATAACGACATGGAAAACAAGAGATTTTAGGAGTTGCATAACGGGATAGATGAATTTTTATGGACATTGATTGATTCGACGAGCGAATGATTGAATTTTAGATGGGATTCGTGATTGGATGTGTGTGGCAGACGAGAGTGGTGATAAAGGGAAGAGGGGGAGAGGGGAGGAGTTAGGGGAGAAGTTATGATGATTAAGCTTAGTATTGTAGGAATGTGCACGTAGACATTCATTTGTGTTATGTGCTTAGTTATTTCACATTCTGTTTGTAGTATCTCTCTTTCATCTGAACCATTTGAAGTAAATGCATTTAACAGTACGAGCCATTGCTCGTTAGTAATCGATTGAAATGATACAGTGAGACAGCGTTCTTCGGAAGAAAGGGACGAATTTCGGTAAATGTATGATTAGCGTGATGAGCAAGTGTGAACTCTCGCGTTATGGAATAGCTCGAAGAGAGTGTTGAGATGATAGCCTTGCAATGAGAAGACGGGAGGGGAGGGAGGGGGGAAGTGGGGAAGTGAGAAGGCATTTCATCCTATCATCTATTATTGATTCATGTTTTGTCGTCGGCGTTTTCGACGTGGCAAACATTCTCTTCTTCCATCACGTCCTCATTTCAACGAAGCACTTTTCAGTTCTGCTCAATCATTCCCATGTCCTCTTGTAAAAGAAAGGTAGACATGTATATGTGTGTAAATGTAACGAATTGAACATTCTGATTATTGATTACTGCGAAAGTTAGTTTGTTAAATTCCATTTCTGAGAACTAAAAAGCAGTGGTTTATGCTTAAAGACAAAAAAAAGTTGGAGAGATAATCATTTTGATGAATTTGTCGTTTTTGTATTTGTTTGTTGAAATATGATACTTGTAAAACATATATGTGATGAGTAAGATTCATAACACATTTTGTGAAAAAAAGGATCTTTCAAATCAGTAACATAATTGTTAATTTACACACAAAATATAGTCTATCTTAAATGAAATAGATTGTGGAGCAGACTTATTGTTATAAAGTGAAGATATTTTAAATATAGAGCTTCATTCCAATGTGAATATTTACTAATCCAGAAAGATTTTGTCATAGTATTACCTAGTTGGTAAAGATTCAGCACGGTTGTTTTAACATGTACGCTGTTTTATTCGTTATAATATAAGTCTCGGATAAATACTTTGCTGACCTTTGATGTAATTGCATATATTGTCATCAGTATTATGTGAAATTGACAGAGTTATTCGTTTAATAGGCCGAAATGCCAGAAAATGAACCAGTTCGTCGATTCGTGCCATTACCAACCCAGTTTCTTCAAGAAGAGGAACCAAGCGATATTGATGATGATGATGAACAGAATGCAGAGTATAATCAGCCTTTGGCTCACTTTCAGCATACTGCTTCACGTTCGGCTTTAACTTCAGTCCATGATCATCATGCACAACCTTTTTCTTCAGGAAGAGGCATCTCATCCAATACATTTTATGGAATTTCTCAACGAAATTTAGTATGTTTTTTAGCTGTACTGGTAGTCATAAATATATTTTATTATATTTCGATTTTTGATCCTTTTTTGTTTTTTGTTTCCCACTCTTTCTATGCGAAAATTTCTTGGGTACTGCAAAACTTTGCATCCTGAGTGCTTCTGAAGGCTATCGTAAGTAGCCTTTTTTCGTCATACAGCTTTATCAGAAATTAAGTAGTGTTAAGCGTTGCATGTTGCCTAGTCAAACATAAGAACTTTAAGTGTTCTATAGTATTATGCTTCGAGTCCATTTTCAAGGTTTTCTCGAAATTACCCATTCTTTAGATTTAGCTGGTACTAAATCCTTCCATGTTTTATTGTTTGCTTTCTGCTGAATATGAGTCTTAAGCTCTTGTACAAATCGTTTTACTTCATCAACTTACAGAATTATGGACAAAACCACGGCATTGCAGATGATACGTCTTCAGGACATACGCTGCGCAATTTTATAGGTCGTCATATTCCAAAGAATGATGATTACACCCAGAACCCATACGATTATCAGGAAGTATGTTTTAAAATTTTTATAATTATATTAATATTGATATGTCTTAGCGATGAAATACAGTGTGTTATTACAATGTATTAGTATTATATTATTACAAAACTTTTTCCTACAAGCTCAATTATTATGTTTTAAAATCTAGGACAGGTTTTTCATCTTTAAGTGAACTGGTTTTTTAGTCTTTTCGCTATACATTATATGGGTTTTAACTTGAGTTGAGTGGGTGTTTCCCAAGAACCTTTGTGTCCAATGCTGGATATAATATCCTCGATAATGAGGTGATATGGTTTATTTCTATGTTAAGCGTGATTTTATATTTTTGGGGATATAATTTACACCATGGACCATTAATGATGAGAAGAGCAAATGATGGATCATGCAACAATCCTTTATCCATATTCATTCAGTCGTCTGGTTATCCTTTTTACACATTGGGAAAACGTCTTTGGTTCATTGAGATTTCTTTTCTTAACTTGGCATGTATGATGACTACTTGTTCATTAAAGAACTGTAGGAAGATATTCCCTTCATTGAATGCAACCTTCATCATGGCAGTATATCTATTAAAATATTTGACTTATATAATTTTTATTTAGTATATAGTGGAATATTTCAAATTTGATTGTGGATGTATTATATTTTTTTACCTATGTAGTTTTATATCTAGACTTTTAATTAATTAGTATGAGTCATGTTGTACGTGTGAAAATTTACATATTTCATGTCGGCTCCTCAAATTTTATCATTTCAGGTATTCGATGACCCACACCAACTAATACCTAGTTATCACGAATACTCAATAACGAATTCGCCGACACATTCGTACTCACCAACATCTAGTGATTCTGTTGCAATGCCTGAATACTTTATACCCAGAGGGGCATCATCAACAGTGCGTTCTGGTGGATTAGGATATGGAAGTCACGCTAGTGAACAAGACGACACAATTTTCTGTGAACCTCAGCAAAGATTGCAAGAACCAAAAGTTATTTCAAATGAAAGCAATAGGGTCGGTAGTTGCAATTCATCCATATTTTGTATAAATTTTAAATGGGTACGTGAAGTAGAGCAAAATGCCTGAGTGTCAAACTTAGGCTGTATAAGAGGGAAAAATGTATTACTTTCGGACAGTCACTATTCATCTGAATTCATGAAATGTATTTTGCTGCAATCCTCGTGTTATTTAGAAAAGTACCATCAACATTTCATGTCTAAAGAAGATTCCAGTTCATTGTTTGGTCACAGTTCGATCATTCGCAATGATGTAGCAAAGAATTTTAAAGATTATGTCATTAGCTTTTTTTCATCGTTAACAGCGCTGCCAGCCAATGAAGTTTTCTATTTTAACAAGTCGGAGACCTTTTATCAAACTGTGCAGCTTGCAAAATGAGCACGCCTTGATGCTTCCAGCTGCGTGTGATGTTAGAATATCAAGTTCCTCAAATAGCAAAGAATGTTAACAAGCAGAGTTTACAGAATAGTTCAGAACCGCTACAAGTGAAGCATATTTTTCGCTTCATGCAACTTTAGATCTTATGAGATCTTGTGGGGAAAACTAGATTTGAGGGATGCACAAATTACCGCATTTCCTAACTATTTAAAATTCCGCTATGCAATCATTGTTAAATTGAAGTTAAAAAGAAAAACAGTCCATTTTAATGGATCTCGATCATTCCCACATTTATCTATGATTGGCCGAAGTGTGTTGTCAAAGGATTATGGTACTATTGGTCCCATATTATCATGCTTTGCTGCAACAGCAACTTTATGGAACCGTTTATATAACGCATGCACAATCTTCCTGGCTAAAAACATTTGCAGAATTAATTGGATTAGTAGATCTGCTGCAAGGATGTATTCGTGTTCAGTTTTTTTGGGTTGCAAGCTTATCGACTATTTTTGTTTGCAGTAGCTGAGATAACTGTCCCACTTCAAAACTAACAACTTCCATCTGCTCGGTACGCTCATCGTTATCGGGTCGTTTGGATTTGGCTGATAGTTTTAATGAATCTGCTTATACGGACATTCAATGTAACCTGACGTTTTAGTAAAATCGATTCTGTTGCTTTTTTTGTTTACTGAGTTGAGGTTTGAGGAACATTTCTATTTTTGGTGCATGCTAACTTCTTCGATATCCATATGCATTTTGCATCTTTAGCGCTTATTCCATCATCGTTATTGTCCAGACATTCTTATTCTTGTTCTTTAAATGTAGAAGTTTTCCTTGATTGCGTAATCATCTCTACTAATTCTTATCGGAGTTGGCTGCCGAAAAAAAGTTTTGAACTGTAGGACATCGAGAATAAACGGAGGGTGAGAAGAATAAGTCTAAAATTGAGTGATAACTTCGGAAATGGGTTCATTGGATTTAATGAGTGATTCAAGTTTTGACGTATGTTTCTGGTTTTTTTTCAGTACACTGTTGTTGGGCATACGGTAGAAGGTCAACCAATTTATGCACTACAATCAGTGAGAACGCAGGAACGTTCAAGATTACATCAGGGTTCGGTGTGTGTTTGGATATTTGATATTTTTTAATTTCATTTCCAAGAGATTTCAATCTTGAGACGTGATTATTTAAAATTTTTTTTTTTGTTTTCATTATTTACTAGTATAGATCAATGGGTGTTTGAATTATACTAAAAATGAGCATTTATTTTTGTCCAGGATAAAATTATTTTCCATTTTTCTTATGGGAAAATTTGTAATACCATACTGATATTAATATGGATTAAAGTGAGTGAGTGACAGACATTGTCGAAATCAGTAGACTGTATGTGATAGAAGAGCCACGAATATTTAAGAATCTGACATTTTTGTAGTATTCCCTTATACTAAAGATTTATAATTTACTTATGGCCTCTTAAGTGATCAACATTGTTAAAATTCTAATTTGGTAGGATAAGTTGTAAAAATAGAGGCATAGAAAAATTCGAAGTGACGCGTTAAAAGAAAGAAGGAGCTCATTTTTTAATAAAAAAAATTTATGAACATACATCATTTCCAGTTATACCGTGTGATGGAGAACAGTGTGCAACCTCGTTATGTTTTTTTACGCCAGCAAGCTGGTCCTGCTCGTCGATTGCAAAGAGATAGTGGTGATATTAATTCATCTAATGAAAATTATCGCGCTGTAGCGCGTGAAATTGTTGCAAAAGCTCTTGAAGATAAGGTTAATTATTATAAAAATTAGATGTTGATACTATAGCTTCCGTATGTTCCTTATATTGTCTCATATCATTATCTGAACTGTATTTAGTGATTAATTCAGGTTATGTATTTCAGCGTCAAAAGCAGCAGCTTTCACAGGAATCGCAACCATCCTCTTCAGGTGTCAGTACTGTTGCAGGGAAAACAAAGAAGAAATCAGTGACACCAGATGACGGAGAAAGTGAGAAAATAAGGTAAAATAAAGTTAGAAGAAATGCACTTGAAAAGACATGAATGATCTTGGATCAGGAAATTTTTTTTTCTTGGTTTTCAATTATTATAAAAACTTTATCAAAAAGAGTTGATCGTTTATTAGTGCATGGGACAATGTCAAAATGGGGATTCAGAAGGAAGAGATCAGGAATTGGAAGGTGATTTGAAAAAATTATTTTGATGAATTGAGGGCTGTTCTGTTTCAGCGGTTCAACAGTGGCTGCACAAGTTGCTGCTATTCAACGCTTTAGTACACCACTTGGGTGGAAGCAGATGGGATCGTGGTTAAAAACTGCTGAGGCGAATGAAGACTGGAGCCGTTTGAAATTGTTACTGAGCCAATGTTCACAGGCAAGTTATTTTGCATGGTTCGAAGAATTATTTGCTTCACGTTGAATTTTGATTCAATTATAGCTGCCTTAATTTAGACATGAAACTGAATTCTTTAGTGAAGTTCTTGATTTTTGATGTTAATGACATGTATCATCTCACTAATCCCATTATCTTTCATAACTGTGCCATATACAGTTTAAATAAACATTTTCCGTCTGATCATTTATTTTACATAGACTTCAATCTCTTTATCTCTCCCTTTTGTTGCAAATGTTTTCATTAACATTTCTTCAAATTTCATTGCCAATGATTATTTCAATGTGGTCATTTTCAATTACGGACCATTTTTCAACTTCACTTAACTGATTTATTTAAGGCAAATCTAACGCTGGAATTGTTGCAGTCAAATGATACTCCGAAATTTGTGCGTAAATTGTCGAAAACTTGCCCTGATCAAGGTTAGTTCAAATTATTTGTGGGAAAGAAAACGCTTGATTGTTTGGCTTTTGCTTTTTCTTTGTTTTATATCGCTTTATGCAAAGACATGCATTGTAAAATTTTTTTCAGATGTACGCAAAATATCAGGTGATTTGGTGATACGGTGGAAACGCTTGGTGTCTGCACCATCTCATCAAATACCTGAACAATTGAAAAAAGTCGGTTCTGCAAAACGTAAAACACCTCATCCGGCATTTGGAGGTGCCAGCAAGACAAAAGTCAGGAAAGATAATCCGGATTTTATGAAAACTGTTGAGAGAGAAGCCGAATCAGATGGGGACAAGCAAAAAGATGCTTCCGGAAATAAAGTGGAATCTAGTAAAAAGTCTCAAAACACTGAAAATTGTGAAAAATCAGATGCTGCATCTGCTAAGACTGAAAAACTTATAAAGGCTTCATCTTCCAAAAGTAAAGTAGAAAAAGCAGAAAAATTAAGTGAATCAACTAAAATTGCATCGAATAAGCTTAATGAATTCAACATGTTCGAGAAATTGGGTGAGGAAAGGAAAGAAAAGAAACGACGTCCAAAAACGGCCAAAACTTACACTTCGAAATTCCGTTCAACAGGTACTCTACTACTGGTCAAGTATTATTTCTCATTTTTTGCACATTACTTAGTCCACTACAGGATTTTTCTTCATCAAAAAATGGTCTGAATAGTTGGAACACACAGATGGATGTACAGTTTTCAAGTTTCGATTTCTGTTTCAAGCATTTCGAGAAAGACAGGAGAATAAGCTTCTCAAATATCTTTAGAATTCTCTAACTTGTTCGGAAAATATGCATTCGTCAGTGTGATGTTAATACTGAAGTATGCAAGATCAGATCACTTTATGAAAGGGAATTCCGCGAAATATTTCGCTATTTCAAAGCACTAAAAATCTCATCACTACTAAATAGGTAGTCCTAGCTAAACTACTCCTGTTCCACTAGCAGATTATTTACCTGAAACTGATATTTGATCCAAAAACTCAAAGAAAGGAACTGCACATAAATCAATCCAGTATAATGTGATATTAACGGTAGTATATATGACTTTAAATTAAATATATTTCTAGGAAATTTAAAATTAGAAGTATAGAAGCATTTCTTGTGTTATGCATAGTGTATTCGTCATTTCAAGTCCTTTTTTATCATTTGAGGTTTACGTGCTGCCTTCATGTTTTTGGAAATGAGAAATGACTTCATTTAAAGATTAGACTTCTGATTTATTTCGCGACTGTATTATTGGAAGACATATTACTCCTTCCAATAACACAGTCGCGAAATATTTTTTCGTGTAACATGCCACTTTAGAATTTCTCCTACGTAGAATGGGTATTTTAAGTTAGGATTTATATGGCTATACGTAGCTTGCATAATAATGCTGAATTTCAGGATTCTTCATCATTCCGTGCAACAGGTGTTCGGTGATTGTACAAGCTGTGCTACTACTACTGCTGACTGTTGTTGTGCATTTTTTTCCCCATAAAACTGTTCTTTTTTCGAGCATTTCGGACAACCATTTTGTTTTATCCATGAAGACAGTGCTTCTGTTCACATCATATATACAGTGTTATATATGAAAACAAACTATGCTTTTCCCCTAGCCAACGTTATTAGAAATACAGTGAAGTGAATTGGCATTGAATCAAATAATCTAAAGAAATGCTCCAGGAAGCGAAATTAAATAAAAATGAAAACTTTAAAATTTTCAAGACATATTCAGATATGGAAGGAAATCAGATTTAGAATTTCTCTATAAAAGAAAAAAAATAGTGCTTGGATGATGCTTAAATGAAATTGAGTAAATCTCAATTATTGACTCTGAAGGATTGTAAAATCAGTGGATAGCATCTTCATTGTTAATGGTACCATTGGTTCCATTTTTCATGGTTAAGCACTGTGAGGATCAGTATTAAGACTTACAATACAAAGGGACTTATAATTCATCGTTGCTGCGGTTGCTATAATATATGGACTGCCTAGTTGCACATCAGCGCTTTTGATTCTTCACATAGCCTATTCATAAATCATTCGTCCATGATTTTTGTTCCTCGGAAATTCATATATGTGATATCTGTCCGCTGCTCGTAGTAGAACTGCGGAATGCGCTGCTTATGCAGTTGTGTGCGGCATACTTGTATAATCACCGGTCAATTTTTGCACTAATAAGTAGTCACAGCAAGTATTTATTTCTCCTTGTTTAGGATTGGAAGGTGACGATGAACTTGCAGCAGATAAAAGTGACGCTAACATGGTAGTGGGATCTAAAAAGAAAGGAAGTTTGCCTAGTAAAGCGTTACTGGATGCCAAAAAACGCACTGGTACGCCTTTCTTCTATTGCTTCTACTAGTTATGTATTGATGTGGATGTAAAATATTTTAATATGATAAGCGAACTCTTCTGGTCTATAAGTTACTCATTGTAACATCTCAAATTGCTATTTTTAGTACGAGATATTCTAAATTAATTGTATTTCCTTTTCATATTGTGACAGTTCCTTATTTTTTCTCATTATAGCTGTTCCAACAAATATGTCAAAAACATTACCAGTCAGCGCTCCAGTCAGCGCTTCAGCTCCTATCTCGTCCTTATCGCTTACTGATAAAAAACCTGCATCAAGTACTCCAGCAAGTAAGTTTACATTTCAGCATTTTATTCCTTGTGCGGAAAATTAACTACTAATTTGTACCTCGAATTTAAGTTGCATATTTTTATCGTTCACCTAAGCTTAGTGATTTTAGGAGTCATGATGAGCAACACATTTATGGATGCTCTGATGGATCCGGGACATAAGAAAGCACCTCAAAAGCAAGCGAAAAAACGATCTGCGTTGAATTTGAAACCATCGACGTCCGTTATACCGAGCGTTATGGTCGGTTATTATTTTTTGTCTTTGAATTTTTTCATTTCAGATTTATACACTTAATGATTTCTATTGTGAAACAAACGAAAAAGTTTTGAGTCAACTAATTCCATCACAATAAAATTAGTAATAATTAGTTTTATATTCTGTTCATATTAGGCTAATTTACAACTATATTTGTAGTGTTTATGAAATAATTCCTTTCTTTCATAACAGTATGGAAGTCAGTGGATCACAGTGGTTGAATGGTTTGTAAGATAATTTCTTTAAAACTCTTTGGCGTTAGTTTTGGGTGTAAAAACTAGTTTTCCGATTTGATGTAATAATTTATGGTTACGTTTAGAAGACTTTCGTCGGAAAATCATTCAAGTACAATGCTTTTTAGGAAGGGTTATATAGCGATACTTCAAAATCACTTAATAAAGAGAAACAAGATGAGGGATCAGTGGATGAAAAAAAAGAATTGGTGGTGGGAGAACCAAATATTGTACCGTTTGGTAATAGAAAGATACGTTTTGCTGATGAAAACGGACAAGAACTTGTTGAAATTCGATATTTTGAGGTAGAAGAGGGTGAAAGATGTTAGTTCTTTGTTATTATTGTCTTTTAAATTTGTAAAGTGCGATCAGTTATATTATATAATTATTATAATTTGCATGTTAATTGATGAAAAATTCAGTAGGTTTAATTGTTAATGCTGTAGTAAAATTTTGATCCGTAATGGTTTATTAATGCATTTATTCTTAATGCTTTAAATTTATTTAACTTCACTAGGTAATTATTATTCATAATTCAAGGTTTAGAATAATTAGTTATTACTCAATAATTCATAGTGTAAATTTCAGTGAATGTTAGTAAATTGTCATCTGAAGACATGAAACATCTAGAAATGCAACGTGAACGAACATTTATGAAAGAGCAACGCAGCCTCCACATAACTGAATTTGGCTTCAATTCTGGTCGTTCAGAAGGAATAACTCACATTCCGGTATAGTTCATTTTTAATTGTTTCTAATTTATATGTGATTTAAGACTTAAAGATTTTTAAATCTTTAAAGATTACTAAAATTTCCAGTACTTTCAGATGTTGGAAAAACCTTGTAGTCACTGAACTTACAAAAGTGCTGGAGTTGTGAGGTTCCTGTTATTTGTGAGGATGTGTGTTGCGTGTGCGTGCGTGTGTGTGTGTGTGTGTTGGTATCGCTGTTATTATGTATTCAAAAAATTATTAAATACGCCGCTTCATATTTATGTTAACCATTGGTAATGGAAAAACCTCCTTTGTTTATTTTAAAATTCAAAATTCGAATGTTAACTGTGACCACTTTGAAACTAATTTCAATTTGAATTTTAATTTGTTATAAGCTTTTCCATTTATTGTAATTGCACAAAAGATCTGTCTAAATCAGAGCTGTCATTCAGATTGATAACCTCAAACTGATTAAAATTTAGAAATGATTCACTTCTCAAAAATGTAAATATGCTTTTCGCAATTGTATTTTGTAATCCATCGATGAATTCATTTTGCAACCAATTAGTTGTTTATTAATTAGTGAATGAAGGTTAATTTCTTATTAACTGATATGATAGAAATTTTCAGTGGAAATTGATACCGCTTACGGATGCTGTATTTTTTGAGCGTCGAGGTTCGCAGAGTGAAGCGAAAAAAATTGAAGAAGAGCGACAGAAGACTATTATGATGCCATTTTATGATCCTTCTTTGTAAGTTTCATTCCGTTATTGTACAAATCATCGGAAGATTTGGACATACGAAATACTGTTTCTGGTTTTTCACAGTTTTTGTTTAAAAAGTATTACAAAACATTTTTCAGGCCAGCTGAATTGACGGATGCTGAACCAGAATTACTAACTGGTGCTATATTACCACCAACTGAAATACCTCTAGAATCTGAAGCCGATGATGAAGATTTTAATCAAGTAATTTTCTAAACTCAGTTTAACAAAATCTAATTCGAAGTTATAAAGATTTCAGCATTTCTGCTATTTTAAAATTTGGCATTTTTTAGGATGTTGCTCATTTCGCAAATGCCGCTTCCCCTTCAGCAAGCCACAATCAAAGTGACGCAAAGGAAATAGATGTTCAAGTACATAGCACATTTATTCAATTTATTTCATTTCTATTGCATTTCTAGGAACAACGAACTGTTCCTAAATTGTTAATGTTTAATTCTCAATTTATTTCGTTTAAGTTTCTCGTATTCGCTCATATTCAAGATGATATTGCTTAACATATATAGATCTAACTAATGAATTTTTGCAGAAATTGATGACTGAATTGAAAAAGAAGGGCCTTGTTGGTTCAAGTTCAGATTTAGCAAGCATACTCAATAAAGTATCTTCAACTACTGCTACCATTGCTGGTACAACAGCAACGTCAGTTCCTTCTGCATCGCAAGCCACTATAGCCACAACTCCAACATATGCTCAGTTAGCAACACATTCTAATGTTCCAAACATTCCGAATATGTCATTACCACCACCCCGTTTTGCCCACGGGTATTACATTTTCTTGTTTTAGATTTAATTAATTGAATTATAAAATTATTTTCTTCAGGAATTCTGCAAATATACAGAGTTTGAAATTCCGTGTTTAAGTCGCGCACTCAACCAAAAATTTTGACCGTTTAACATCTTAATTTTTTTCTAGACTTCCGATGCCACCTGTTTTGCCAGCCGGTCAATATATACTTCCAGTCCAGCAGCAGCAACCACTTTTGAATGGTCCTGTTCCGGCCGGAGTTACTCCAACTATAGGCGTAGATTTGACTACTCAGAGTGGTCCATGTACATCTGAAGCGCCATCTTACGGTACTTATGGCCGTCCTGGTAAGTTTTTCATCTGTATTAGTTTTTAAAATTTCTGAATCCTTTAATTATTAACTGTCAGTAGCTTGTAAATAAATATGAAAAATAAAAGAATAATCATCATTTGTCACTTTTCATCTTTATAAATCTTTTCCTTTTACAGGAGTCAAACAGTGCACATTTTACCAGTCGGGTACGTGCAGTTACGGCGCACGGTGTAGATTTGCGCATGGTGATGAGCCAACTGCAGGTACTCAAGGATATGGTTACAACGATGAACGAGGGCGAAACTTTAGACGCGGTGGTCAGTCATTTAGAGGTGGTGCACGTCGAGGTGGAGCAGATAATGGATACAGGTAATACAGGCATTATATGTTTGTTAAGTGGTTTGCAAGTAATGGTGATGATACATCAAGTGGTGTGACGGTGGGAATAAGTTCAAAGTACAGGAATAATGGGTAGTATTAATAGAAATATTCAGTTCTGAACAAGTTGTCTCGTTTCAGACGTGGGCGTGGTGGCCCTTCATTTGGTCGTAGAGGGTTTTATAATCGAGAAAGAGATCGCGAAAGGGAACGGGAGTATGAGTACGATCGTCGTGCATATGATCGTTATGGAAGGCGACGCAGAAGAAGTTCGTCGAGATCAAGAAGCAGGAGCCGATCAAGGTCGATATCTCCAAATTCTTGTACTGATTATTAAATTTCTTGGAATTTTATAAACAAAAACCAAACTGTCGAGAAAAGGTAATAATTATTTGTACAAGTGACTTAATGGGTTCTTTTTTATCGAATAAGGTCTTCAGGTCAAGATCGCTAAGTCCATTCGAAAGACGGCCATATTCACCTGATCGTCGTAGACGTGGCAGCCCACGTGCCACACATGAATGCGAGCAGGAAGAACATTTCGAGAGACGGTCAAGAAGCGACGATCGAGAACGAAATGAGCAGCATGTTGCCGATGTTGCAAATCCGCTGACTGATGTTAAACGGCAGCTGCAGGACAATCATTCTACAACAGAGGGGCAGTGTACTGTGGAGGAAATTGATTGTCTTAAAAGCATGAAATCAGTAGCAAGTGCAGATCAACAGAAATCACCACCTGAAGATCCAATACCTTCGATGAAACCTGAGAGCGTTGAATCAGTTTCTATCGATTCTCCTGCTAGTCCAACCTAAGATTAGGCAAAATTTTTCAATGAATGGTGGTATATTTAACTGCTGTTGCATTTTTTAATGTTTGTTCCAAATAGTATGGATTTTTATGTGCTTATATTATACATATATTTTTTTTTCTTTGAGACCTATTAATTAATAATGGAGCGGAATCATTTCATATTCAAATCATATGTCATAAATTTTTTCCAAATCCTCTTTCTTTAATGATATCCATACTGAGGCCCGTTTTTTGGTAATTCTGGTCTTCTGTTGATATTAAAGAACATGAAATTAACAGTCCATTCGACGAGTGAATTTTTTCTATTTCTTATGATTCTAGTCTCTTACCTGTTCCTACTCTTACCTGTTCCTTCACTTTTTAAATTGCAGCAGTTTTTATGAGAAAAGTATGTTATTACTTTTTGGGATTGTTAAACATTTTTTGTTGCATTCTTTTGCTATTTCTAAAAGTATTTGTTTGTTTGCTGAGTAAAATGGAAATTGTATGTGTATTTGGTTGTGGATTACAATAGCTGTCATCAATTAGCACCATCGTTCCATCTCTTTCTTTAGATAACTATTACTGCCGAATTTATTGATGAGTTATTGAACCATTTTTTTATCACCTAAATGAATGTCTTATTAGTAAAATGTAGTTGTAGTTTCATTAATAAAATTTTTTTTTAGATCTGGAAATGCCTAATCTAACATCTGGAAGTTGAATATATGCTCCAATTGTAAATTTAAATTTAAAAATTGATAATTCAAACTCAAAAGGTAAGTTTCAAATCAAATTTTATAAAAATACTAGAATATAGATTGGCATACCTTTTAAATGTTGGCAGTACATTTGTGCTTGCGTGTTAAAACCAAAGCAATTTATGAGATTGAAAAAAGCAATGAAAAGATGAATATATGAGTGCTTCATTGTCCGAGAGAAAATGGTGGAAGTGCTTTTGAAACGAATTTCAATCGTTGGGTGATTTGATTTTTCTTTTTTTTTAACATTATGGTTCAGCTGCACGCCTAAATTGACTACGAAAGATTTGATTGATTATCCCTTTCAAATTTTCATTTATCGTCTCCTGAATAGCTATCTATCATTATACATTTGATTTTAATAAAAATATCAGATTCACCGGATCATAATTTTAATGTCGTGTGCAAATTAAAAATTCACAGGAAAATTTATTATTGCATAACAAGATGTAGATTTTCTTAGTTTTTATTCAAACACTTGAATTGTACTTCTTCACTTTTGCTATAGATTAATGTTTAGCAATAGCAATCCTGAAATACGTTATCAAGTATTAATTAGAATTTTATGAGTTAATTATCAAATAAAAAATAGCAATCCTGAAATACGTTATCAAGTATTAATTTGATAACTAAAACCCAAATTATCCCAAAAAAATTTAACCTTTTTTTGTTATTGCATTCAATAATCAGAATTTTCAATATAAATTGATAAATTATGAAGTGTAGTAATTCGACAACAAATAATGAGTTACGTAGATATAATATTTTAATTAATTGATTAATTAAAGCGACATTAGTATTTTAGGCATACATGAATGATATAGACCTTTCGTGGAACATGCTGAAAATAAATTTTAAAGCCATCAAAAATTAGCCATATCAATTAATACCATACCTTAATTGTTTACTTGATTAGTACGTCATCGATAACTACTGGCCTTTTCAAATTAATTGAATTTTCAAGGAAGTGAATGCTTGAGGTTAGAGGTTAGATTACTTATGATTATTTAAAATTTGAGTTAAAAAATAATTAGTGCAGAATTTTATATGCAATTGATCTTATAAGCATTTTTCTTATATGTTTCAATAATGAGATATCGGTGAATTTTTTTCATATAGTTTTAATATCCTTCTAAAATTTTTCATAATTTCTCACCACCACCACCATTATATTCCTCACTGCTGCACACTTTCACAGTGCCAATTATCGCATTCGTATGCACGATAACAACGATCGCAACTTCTGAAGCACCTGAGTTTTTTTTTTTTNTTTTGAATTACTTTATTCTGAATATTTAATATGAACTCAAATATATTCCTCCATTTTATTTTGGCAATTTTGTGAGAGTAAGAAAATTCTAACAAAAGATTTACCATTCATTCACCTTAAAAAAAACTGAAAATCTCATCCGCAATATCTGAACTGCTTGAAGGAAGAAGTGAAGAATGATAACCTGATTTTATGAAAATTGTTGCAAAATGAGAGTAATTAAATGAATATTTTTGGAAACAAAATAGAATCTAGTAAAAGGTCTCCAAAGATCGAAGATTCCGAAAAATCAAGTGCTACATTTCTTGAGATTTCAAGAAATCAGATGCTACATCTTTTGAGATTCCGAGAAATCGAACGCTACATCTCTCGAGATTCCGAGAAATCAGATGTTATATCTGTTAAATGATCAAAGCAAAATATGGATTGTTTCGATTTCTTATCTTAAATTGCTTCTTTTTTTTTATTGATGCATACATTTTATCGATTCTTTCACCTTTTTGCATTAAATATGTTGCTATTTTTTGTAACAAAATAAAAAAAGTAGATTTCAAATTAATCAACACGACACTAAAGCCACGTTCTGCCAGTATTGATTAGCAATGATATGTACTTTCAAATATTTTTACATTTATTTTGTAACATTTATCGCTATTCATTATTCAGTACTTAAAATAAAAAAAAAATGATTCTAATTTGAAATTTTAAAGTATCAAATTTAAACTGTTATTTTTTGAAAATTGCAAAAAAAAACAGTAATCGTTACGTAGTAAATAGCATTATTAAATTTTTTAATTGAATAATTTTCAAACGTTGGTTAGAAAAAATTTTGCTTGATCACATTTCAATTCGATGTTCAGGAAAATCTCAAGCAAAGGTAAAATTAAATTTCTAGCAAATAAAATATTTGCATGTTAAAAAAAGTTAAAACTTCAAAGTGTTAGCAAAGAGAAGCAGTAAAAAAGCAACAGTATATGACAATAAATGATAATTCAAAAACAAATTATGCAATGGACAAATTTTCAGATTATAGAAATGCTAAAATATATTAAAATATTAGACTATAAAATATGATTTAATATTTCACTATTTTCATACTTATTTTGGCTAAAGTAATATATTGATTTTCCTATCATTAAATTTTTCACTCCCAAATACATTTTACTAAAAACTCGCCCAAACTTGAATTACAAAATTTCACACTACCATTTCTTATAAGACATATCAGTAAAGTTAAACAATAAGCTATTAAATAACTTATATGATACGAATGTATTAAAAGATTTTTGTTTAATAATTTTTTTTAAAGTTTTTTGATAAAATGCAATAATTATTATGCATTTATAAACAAACATTTAACACTGAGAAGAGTAAAAATACTTTTACTCATTTCTTAAAGGATATTTTAAACTTTGTTAGCTTAATTGAAACTTAGCTACTAAGCTAATAAAGTTTAAGATATCGTTTAAGAAATCAATGAAAGTATTCTTACTCTTCTCGGTTTAAATGTTTGTTTGTAAATACATAATAATTGTTGCATTTTCGATAAGCAAAGTGTTATTGTTATTTCTTATAAGAATTGTCCAAGCGCTACAGGTATTTTTTTAAAAACAAATTTTAAAGTGTTTTTTTTCAAATAGTTCAAAATCAAAACTTTTCAATTCATATTCAATTTTATGCTATTAGAACAATTATATTTTTGATTTGAAAATTTCAATTTATTCATGCAATTTCAAATTTTGATAATTTCAATTTCCTAAAACAAAAAACTTTTGTCTACATCTGTTAATTAGCAGTGATATTTTCCCCACATTACGCTCCTGAGGTATAATATATAACGTTGTTATTGTTCAATTCGTAAATAGTTCAGAAGAAAAAAAAAAACCTGTTGAATATTACAACTATTTATTATCTAAATGTCCTTTTGAGTTCATAACAAAAATATTTTCACATTGTTTAATAACATTTCATTCCCATAATAAAAAAGAAAAAGTGAAAAAAAAAGACGTACAATTAGCATGAATGTATCAAAAAAAAAAAAAAAAAGGAAAACGAGATAAGCTATAAGAAACGGAATTAAAATATTTTATTCTCACGTATTTGCAACTGACAAATTATAAATATGTAATGATGAAAATGACCATATTAAAAAAAAAA